CATCTTTCCAACTGATGTAAGAGGCTTTGTGTGTGGCAGAGAAAGTACACTCATTATTTTGGCAGCCAAGTGAAATCCACAAGTGGCCCGTAATTACTCTGATTGCTAGCTCATGAATCACCATAGAGGAAACATTTCCACCAGTAAATAATCTTTTCTCGTTCACTTTATCTCGTTATGATTAAAAGTCATCATTGACAGCTGTTGGACGAGATTTTTTTTACATTGGTTTTGCAGTCTTAATGCTGTAAATGATAATTCAAATTGCTTAATCAAGAGAAATGTGAAAGCTTCTGTTCTTGAAAGCAATTATTTAGAATACTTTTGAAGAGATCACCTCTTTTTTTTTTCCTCTTATTTTTGTGGGAATCTGCTTGATTGTACTTTCCTCAAGAATCCATAATACTTTTTTAACCAGTGAAATCAGCTCACCCAGTTTCCTTCTCTCTGTGCTTCTTCATTGTTCAGGCATGTTCAGACATGTTGTTGACAGGATTTCTGGAAGCATTAATTCCTTTTGTTACAGAAGCCATTGTCTTCCGCAAGCAAATTATAACTAGGATCTTTTGGGAGGCTCTTTGATGGTACCATTATGTCCCTGAGAAGCTGGCAGCATATAAACTTAATCAGCTGTCCAAATTTTTTTAAAAATTACTATATTGTATTTCTTATTCCTTTTTCTCCCCTTTTTCTTTTATGAGGCCTTAAGTGACTCACTCTCTTAAAGAGGTGCATGAATTAATCCTGCAGCTAATTCCTGTCACACTTGGTAAAGCATATCACTGAACTTATAAATAATAAATATTACTATAAAGCTGAATTCAGCTATTGCTTCCATTTTTTCCTCTCTAAGGCATCACAGCAAAGATAAACTACTGTGATGGCGAGATGCCACCTAACACACCTGTTACCTTCAGCTGCCATCTGTAGTCCCAATACTTTCTTTGTGCTACCTGTTGCAGTTCCCGGCCCTGCAACGCACAGATCCAGGGATTTAAACCTTTTCCTGCAAGGTTAGTTGTGTGCTGGATCAGCTGTTGGAACTGAACTCACCGTGGTTCACACGAGCATCGCTGCCTCACTCGACGGAAGCAGGAGGACTGTGGGTGAAGCAGCAAGACCTGCCCTCTCAATGTTTAGCAGTATTTTGAAACATTTCCTGAAGTTTCCAAGACCAGAACCATGAAAAGCTAATAGTTCATACTCAGGATAATATATCTCTCTCCTTCTGTAAAGAGCTAGGTCACTTTTTTTCCCCCCATATGAAATTTCAAAACTAAAAGAAAACTTTTGCCTGTGCTGTTAGAAAAATTCAGTCTGTCTTTATAGAAGGGCTTGTATAAGCTGGTGTTTCTCTTAATGTGTCTCATTATTCAGAAAAACATGGTTGTGAACTTGTGAAGTACCTTGTACTAGTAGTAGGAAGGTAATTTCTGTACAGACATGGCCATCAACAGCTTCCAGAGTGACTATGGAAAAAGATCAAAATTTTGTTTGCATCCAGTTCTTGTTTTTCTTAGGAAACAGTCAAACTGGTGTAACAATTCTAAGATGCCTAACTATTAACATTTGCTCAATGTGTTAGAAATCAGAGGCAGTGGATCTTCATGGATCCATTTCTATGTTTTTGCATTTTCATGATTTTCAGCTCTTTGTAAGAGGAGGTAAGTTTAACTATGTATTTATGAGCAGAAATTTATTGTTGTTCTTTGAGAAAAGTTTTAGAAAGAAATGGTGCTATGATTTTTATTTTTTTCTCCCTCTAAAGATAAATAAATGGGAATTTTCAGCATACCTGTTCCTGAGAAATCACCTCTCATGTGATTACTGTTTTAATTCTGTTTCTGTGAAGTTGGCAAATTCCTGGAGAAATAAATATTTTAGCTGTAATACACTAATCTTCTCCCAAAGTATAAAAATTATTTAAGACAATAAAACATTATATGGCAGCCATAATTTGAAGGTGGGGAGGGTGGGGGGACAAACAAGAACTAAAACCAAGAACGATTCAAGAAACAAACAAACAAAAAAACCTCTTTGTGAATTAAAATGATGTAAAAATTTTCCAAAATTAGGAGGTTAACATGCAAGCACATTGCAAGGTACTTCTTAATGGGCTGAAGTTCTATTTTATATTAGAGAAAAAATTGATTTCAGTTTCTCTGTGAAGTGGTTAGAGAAGTAAGAAAATGCTACTGGCTGTATTCAGCAGGCAATCTTATTCAACCTGACTTCACAAAACTGATTTTTATAAATGTTTCCAGAGGTATGAACAGGGAAAAAGACATGATTCTTTGAAGGCGTGGGCTTTTTATGAAACGTAATATTTGAAAGATTCAGAGTAATAAGCTTATTAATGCAGCAAGCTTCCAGTAGTTGGATAGGATTTGACAGTGCTGCCTCTTGAAGTACCATCAAGAAGGTGAATATCCAAATGACTTAAAAACTCCTGTTTTCTTAAGACTTACCTCTCCTTAATTAACTTACACAAGCGTGAGAGTTAAAAGCAGTTTTCATGTTTTGATGTCTCTGCTTTTTGTAGCTGTTGGATGAACTGCCAATGATATACAGTTGTTGTGTGTTTGTCTACTGCCTGTAAGTATTTGTTAAATTTTTTTTTTTCCTGAATATTTATTAAACATTAACTTTTGAAATGTAGAATCTGTGAAGCCCGATCTGGCATCTAGCGAGGCTAACACTGAAGCTTCTGCTGCTTTCCTTGAATCTCAGTTTTGCCTGCAGTACAGCATTATGACTTGGCCATTAGAGCACCAGGCTGGCTTTAGTCCTAGTTTTGGCTAATTTAAAGCTGTTTTACCAGTGTTTGTTTAGCAGGGGAAAAAAATAATCCTTGTTAAACACTCTGTGTAGTGTACAACCGGAGCTCAGTGTTACTTGGTGTGTAAACAGCAGACGTAATAAAATCAACTTCAGTAACGCCTACGAAATTATCAACATTGTAATTTATTCGAGCTGTATTTCTGTGATGTAGTCTGACTCCAAATTTCAGATTTCTGGTTAAACCTGCTTTCCGCTCATCTGGAAAATGAAAGAGATTTTATGAAGAGTTGAGTGCATATTTTGTGAAGAGTGTCTTGGAACACGCATGACAGCTTAATGCCATGCTAGGATGTTTTCTCCCGTTTAATTTTGGGAGCAATGTAGCATTTGGCGACTGTAAAGATGCCATAAGTTGGCTTTTTGTTGCCTGTTGCTGCACGGCCTGGATTTAACATGATTTGTTCTGTCATTTGGAAAATCCAAAGGATAAATCAATCTGTTGCTGACAAAAAGACAAAAAAAAAAATGAACATACTCCAGTTTTCAACGGTTGAATATTTGATATCTTTGGCGAAGATTACTGGTAGCTTGCAATGGAGATGGGATGCTCGAGGACTAAACCCACATCTGTGGAAATTACCATCAATTTGTGATTCATACGTTAATATGATTTGTAGAAGCTCAGGACCAGAATCATAACGCCTCTGTTAGTAGAAATATTTCAATTGTAGCTCCCTATCTGCTTGAAATTGCTTTTGCATTTATTTTGTCTGATTTGAATGTGATTGGGGAAAAGGATGAAAAGTGGCTATAAAAATCCGTTTGAAAAAATTATCATGCTGCTTTTGTGCAATGGTTACTCTATTCTCTTCAAAAGCACTTTTTAAGAAGTCTCTTACTGCATTTGTAGCTCTAATAAGATTCTGTGTTTGGTAGTCATTAAAATGTTCTGACGAATAAACTAATGTTTGGTTTAGGAGGCCTTTAATAATAATTTTGGGTTTTTTTGAAGGTAGGTGGTGGGGTGGTTCTGCACAGGACATTCCCTTACACATCATTCAGTCCTACTGACTCTCAAGCTGTGTAATTACTTTGGGAAGCCATTCTGCAATGTAGCACCTTGTGCTGTCTTGTTTTTCCCCCCCCCCCCCCCCCCCCCATATATTCCTACATGTTTTTTCCTTCTTTCCTTTTATTCTTCCATGATGGTGTCTATTTCCAAAAGTTTATTAACAAGTAAACAAGGCAGCTGTAACTTAGAGTTATAAAGGCATCTTCCTCTAGCCCTAAGGATTTCGTGCTTCTCAAAGTTTGTTTTTATTGGGGTTTTTTGGACCTTTTTTTTCTGATGGAGATGTGGTCTGGAGGGGAGGTGTGTGTAATTCCATCACAACTGTGACTGAAGCATAGCGTAGAGATTGTGAAGCTAATTTTAATTAGTTGTGTTACATACTGGGAGCAATTAACTGTCTTTACTTTCCACTTCTACCAGTACCCAACCTAGCAAACTTACTGCACTCTGATGACTGTAGTAAAGCCATAAACACGTCTGCATGTTAACAGATGTCTAGACTCCACTGTTTTGTAAGGCAGTCCCTTTCCCACGCTGCCTTTAGCTCACAGATGTAATGTTTTTTGGCAGCTGTATTGCATCTTAAACTCATTTCTAATTTGCCATTCATTATCACCCCTTAAGCACGTTCTGAAAACGCTTCTGCTTCCCAAACCCTTTCTTTTGACTGGGTTATTTTTTTGTATATGCATGAGCTTATTGGGGTTTTTGCAGTAGATTTAAAAAAATAAAAAACATTTATTAGTAAAAATGTGAATCTATATTAAAATGACATATCTTTATTGAAAGAGCTACACTTTCTCGAAGGGCTTAAGACTCATTTGGATCAATTTTCTCACAAATTTTGTGATAATACACCTTGAAAAATGCATCCTTTATGAGAGCGATAACATTCATCACTTAACATATTTATGTTCTGTTCCAGGTATGAATGTTTCAAGTACAAGAACACAGTCAATTATCCGCTGCTTTTCTTGTTAATAACATACAGCTTCGTAGTCAGCATAGTAAGTAACTTTTTCTAATGTGGCATTTTCACTTGTAGGTTGACAGTTTTCCTGCCAGTGAAGGAATGTTATACAGGCAGCACTGAATCTCTCTCACTTCCAGCCAAGAAAGACAAATTATTCTTTTGTTGGGAAAATTACGTGCTGGCCAGAGAAACCTGAAACCTTTCTATCTAAACCAGTGTATAGAATAAATGAAGAAAAGCAGTAAGCCAGTTGCTAGAATAGGAATGTGAGAAAAACGATCACCGTTGACTGGTTACAAGACCTTGGACAAGCTGCATTCCTCATCTTCCCTCACTTTGATTCATCTACAGAAATACCAATAATCCTGTTCAACAGACTGCAAAAAGTGGACTGTGATACACAGTTCAGTATATTGACTGGTGTTTTAAAATGACAGCCAGGATAAGATAAGAACCCAGCTGTTTAAAAAATGAGAAGAATTTTAACTGTGTCATGGCTAACTTGATTCCCTCTCTCAGTGCAGTGGACTCCCTGTATGAATAAAATGAGCTTTGTGCTGGCTGTCAACCACAGATGGAAGCTCTTTCATTATTTTTTTATTGATAACCATTTTAAAAAAAAAAAGTGTTATAGGTCATTTTCTGCCTTCAAAATACTTGTCTGTTCTCTTCTGTGGCTCCTAATTTTTTTTACATTTTTGGCATGTTATGCCTAACGTCTAGTGCCCTCCTCTCTTCAAAATGAGACCTTAAATGAACTGCATTAACAATAGGAAGAAGTACCAGCTTTTTGTAAAATGAGTTGAAACGTTAAAGCATTGTCAAGAACATTAATAATAGTGAATCAAAATAGTGTACGTTTTCTTCTTGCAATGTGTATCAAGAACGTATCTGGTAATTTCTGCATCTTAATTGTTTTTGTGTGCGTTGCAGCTCTATTAGATGAGAAGATGTTAGATGTTGGTGCCTCTTTTTGTGCTTCTTAGTTTAAAATAATTCCACAGTTAAAACCTCAGGTTTTGCTAGAGGAAACTTCAGACATTTAATCAGCTTTAATGGTGCATGTATAGGCACTCGTGTCTTGATTCTAGCAGAACAAGTCTTGACAGTATTTAGATGAATAATGTTACGATAGTTCTCTGTTGCAAACTATTTATCTTTTTTTTTTTAATCTTTCCAGATTTACTTAAATTTGAAAGAGCCTGTATTCCATCAGGTAAGTCTTGCTCTGTTGGAGAAGCTGATCTTGTTTTTAAACTATGTTATTTCAGTGGAATGTTCTACAGGCAAGCGCAATTTGCCTTTTTCTTTGAGCACTATTATTGCCTGTCATGTTGCCATCCTTTTATTTGGTGACCTGAGAAACTGGAATGGTTTAATGCTTGTTGTGTTTTAGCATTTGACCTAATATTTAATGTGATTTTCATCAGTGGCAAGTGGAACGAGGTGACCCTGTGGGCGAAGGGAGGGCTCACTGAGTCCTTGTCCACTGGTTTCCATTAGCAGCTGCTGTGAACCTGTGACCTGACCATGTTCTTCTCTCCACTTTAACATACTAGTTTGTGGGGTATTTTTAACTGCTCAATTTTACTTTGTGTAAATTCAAGCTGAATTTAAACACAGAATGTCTTCTAGGGTTATGTAGCAGACTGGTTGTTATGGTCTTACAGGCTTCATGGCATATTTGGTGCAGGATCTTTCTGTAGCAGCCCAAGAGTATTCATATGTATCCACTGCCTGTGGGGACAGGACTTGCATCACTTGCCTCTTCACAGGAGGTTAAAAAACCATGCTTGTTTATGTATGCCATAAGTAGTTTTCCTTCATTTATGATTTTTTTGATTAGGGGTAACAGCTGAAAAATCACCGAGCGAAAGCACTGAGCTCTTTGCAGGACAGAGCTTTAAAGCCTCAATTTGTGAAATTGGTAGTGCCATCGCTTGTCAAAACGCGCCTGCTGCATCAGCAGTTCTAAAAACGATACGTGATTCCTGTTGGTGGATTAGTGAAGCACTCATGAGTAAAATTAATTCCCAGCTGCTCCAAATAATCTCTCCTAGAAACATGAATTGTTAATCTACCTGTAGATAAAGAGAAACTTGCAGGCTTGGGTTTTTTTTATAATGTTAATTAATCCTTTCATTTTTTCCCCTACTTACATTTCCAGCAGGAAGGTACTGGCTGGGGTGAAAGCAGGAATTTCTGATGCTTTTACTGAGCTGATTATAACTGGTTTTGAATGAAGTGACTTACAGTAATTTTGTTAACAACAGCGGCACAATTTACTACTGATATTGGACTTTTATTTCTTTAATCAATTATCTACTCAACCTACATTTATTGCAATAAATACTTCACAGCTTCACTATATTCCAGTTTGGTGCATTGGCACAGGTATTGTGCCATGTCACAAATACTAAGACAATAGATATTATGACTTGTCAGGAAAGAAGGAAATAGGGAAACTTTAAACTGTTGCCCCAGACCTTGAATTTTTTTTGCATCTGGTTTCTCTTACATTCAGAGTATGAATTCCCTGTTATAATTTATACATGAGGAGTCAATGCAGAAAAGATTTAGGCCCATAAAAGTGCTGGACTTTTTACAACAACTCTTTCCAAATTGATTTTTATGGAGAACATACAGTTATGGCCAAATTCCAAACGTTCAAGTACTGCACTCATTTTTTTCACAATCTTTGCCAAATATGTTGTAAATCCAGTGGAGGCATTTATCTGACTGCACAGCTAAGCAAGGTTATTTTCTTAATGCTTATCCTTTATTTTACAGTGCACAAAAAAAAATAAATCTCAATCTAACTTCAGTAGGTATTTTCCAGCTGAATGGGTCACGTAGACTTGAGGTGAAGTTAAATATGTTCGTGCAATCATAGTTTAAATCATAGTCTCAGTCCTTAGCTGTGTGGGAAAGCTGCATGAGGGCATAAAGCAGTATTTGATTCCTCTAGGTATTTGTCTGTGATCATCATCATTTGTCAGCCTTACAAAAAGGCAAAAAAGGGGAATAACCACATGGGCAGTTTTATATTGTTCGTTGTTTCAGTGTGCTTTTTTTTTTTTTTTTTTCCCCTGAAAGGAAAGCAATAAGAATGGAAAAGGATCCTATTAAATTTAGTAGCCAGGATGCAAGCCTCATTTTTCAGTGAATTACTTTCTGCTTTCCTGCCCAACTTAGGCTCAGAAATTGCCAGCAGGGCATGAAGAGGATTTCAGTTTGTCATTCATGGCACAGTGGCAACAGAGACCGAATTCTTTTTTTCCATCTACATATTGCAGATCTTTAAGGGTCTTCGTGCTTTAATGAGAGGGACAAGATGCACATTTTGGTCAGCTGGAGACTACACATCATCAGAAGGAAAAAAAACACCCACTTCCCTGCCTGACAACTGATCTTGTATATTTTGCTGCCTCATCAATTAAATGAAAGATAGCAGTGCCCTTTACAAGCATGTATTGTCTTTGTTTATGTCAAAATCTCTCAGGCTAGAGCACTGTTATTACCTAATTTCCATGGTGCTGAACAACCCTACATCCCAGGTTCCTAGTTGGAAAACTAAGGCTGGCTTTAAGCAGCATTGTTGGAAAAAAAAAAAAAAAAAAACAACCCAAAACAAAACCAAACAAAAAAAAAACACAAACAAAAAACCAACAAAAAACCACAAAAACAAAGACCAACAACTGTGCCTCTTCCCTCTTTCCTATCTGGCACACAAATTTACCCTCTGATGTGAATTTGATTGGGGAACTCAAGAGGTTAAATCTGTCCTCAGAACTAGTTTTAAATCAGATTAGTTGCTCATCCCAGTTTACTGCGTGTATATTTGTGCTTATACAAGGAAAGGGGAGGGGAAAGACTGGCTGCTGATGTGGTGTGATCCATAGACACACAAATATAAGACAGTCCTGAAAGCAGGAAAAATTATCCTGGCAGATAAATTTTCCAGCCCTAACCATTCTATGATTCTATAAAGGTGGGGAGAGGCTGTTCAGGAGGGCCTGTTGTGATAGGACAAGGGGTAATGGTTTTAAAATAGAGGGAGGTAGATTCAGGTTGGATATTAGGAAAAAAATTTTTACCATGAGAGTTGTAGAACACTGGAACAGGTTGCCCAGAGAGGTGGTGGATGCTGCATCCCTGGAGATGTTCAAGACCACGTTGGACGAGGCCCTGAGCAACCTGATCTAGTTGGAGATATCCCTGTTCCTTGCAGGGGGGTTGGACTAGATGACCTTTGAAGGTCCCTTCCAGCCCTAACCATTCTATGATTCCATGATTCTATAAACTTCTAGACTCAAGTCTTAACAAGTAGCCTTCTTTCTAATATGATGTGGCCTAGAAGGCTGTCACCTACGAAGCACTGTGTTCCATCCTGATTTGTTTCCTTGCTACATGCCATATGCTGGCTGTGCACTTGTAGCAATCAAAAACCTCATCCAGCTAGTGAGCCAGGTTGTGAATAATGAAATAGATCTAAAAACCTGTTTCATTTGCATCGTCATCTGCTGCAAGAGTTTGCAGCAAATTTTGAGCAAACTAATAATTAAAAGGTAAATAGAAAATGAGATTAAATGTTCAGGCTAACCTGATAGGTTTTTTTGGTAGATGTTTCTTCTACATTAGGAAATGTGATTAAAAAAAAAAATCTTTTGTATAGACATTCCAGAAGTGCTGTTAAGGTGTCCCATGAGAAACTAAGCAAGCTGGAGAAGTAGATCAGTATGAGAATTGCAAGTAGGGTCAGGGAGTGACTAGTGGAAAATGACAAAAGGAGGTGATGAAAGGCAGTCTCAGTCTGTACTTCCTCGGGATCAGTCGTGGGACTGTTTTTATTTAACGACCTGTAGCAGGAAAAACAGAATCATGTACTGATGATGTTTGTGATGAGACAAAGTTGAGAGGCGTCACTGAGTACAGAGGAGGAGATGAAGAGATACCTGGGAGACCTTGAGGACTAGGATGACAAAAGATACAAAATGGAAGAGCACACATTGATGGGCAAATACCAGCTTTCCTTGTTCTAAGTTGTGCACGGATCACCAGAGGAGGGAGGGAGCAAGTGCCTGGATGTGTTTGCTGGTCACAGCGTAATAATGTGACCAGTGAATTTTCTGCAACAGTGATAAAATACTTGTATTGGATTTACCAATGAAGGTGACTTTGGGTAAGAGGGAGAGAGTGAGCGTGGGAAAAAAGGTATTTCATTTACCTCAATGAAAAAATGAATAAAATTGTTTTCTGCAGGTGTTTTAAATATACAAGTACAAAGGAAGGAAGTGAAATCACTATGAAATGTGTATGTAGACATACACATGGGAGCCCAAAGCTACATGAAGAATGTGTTATAACAGGGCACGACTGTTCAAACTTACAGAACTCTCCATTTTGGGGAATTTTTGTGGACCCACTTGATGTCCTACAGCTCTCCAGAGTCCCTCTTGCTGCTAAGGCAACCGTTAGTAGGAGACTTGTGGCTTGATATATTGTGCATTTTAGTGGAATGTGTTGTCTTACTTTCTACATGTTCAGGTCACCAGTCTGTTAAAAATGACCTTTTCAGGGTATATCTTCCCCACAGAGCATTTTCTTCTCAGGCATTGTCCTGCTTTTTTTAGACCACATACAAACCTAATTTGAGTGTCATTTCATTCTGTTACACAGCTCGTTTGGGGATATCTTCCAGAAAGTGAGTACAGCTTTTATTCCGACTAGTACTTCTACCTGCTCAGTATCTTAGGGAATGTGGAAGGATTTCAGACTCTCCAAAGGATCAGCTCTATGAGCTGTTGAAGGGGAAGCTCGGTTTGCTGCTGCAGTCGGTGTCCCAGAAGCTCTGGAGAGCTGCTCTGTGCCATGCCACTTGGGCATCACTTTGCCATCCCATTCATGCATCTATACAGCACCAAACCAGGTGAATCTGAGTTAGTTCCTTCAGGAGCTGGCAAGGCATACTCAGTGTTTCGGTGTCATCGTGAGGGTCGTCCTTACTTTTTCCCTCTGCTCAGATTTCTTTTCTAGAAATCCAAGAACATGTAGCGGTCCGTTTTCTTTGTTGTAAACTGAAAATACAGTTTCTGATTTCAAGTGCTTAGGCTAGCTATCTTTTGATAGCTGCTTGGTGTGTTAAGAGATAAGCAGTGGTTGCCAAGAACCCAAAATCTCCCAGCACAGTTCCCAACATGTACACTAATATTTGAGGCTGATAAATTGACTTTATTAACCAAGGATGGGCAGACGGCCAGGAGCAGAGGAACAGAGAAGTGGAAATACAGGCTATTGCTGCTTTCTGTACTCGAAGCATAGAAGAAGCAGCAGTTTTGTGTGCTCCCCGCAGTGTAGAGCACCAACCTTGCCTCTGACTTGCATCAGAAGTGAATCTCTATGATTTGCTTAACTACCTCCACATCAAAAATGCTGCCAAACAGCGAGCCCTGAAATGCTTGCTTCCCATTTGTGAATTAGAAGGATGTTCTACATATTTGGCCTCCTTACCAGGTAATCCACTGTGTATTAATAAGATTCTGGGGTTTTCCCCATCGCAAAAATACAGGCTTCAAAGCTGGAATACGTGCAGCTTTATTTGCATCCTAAACAGCAAAGAGGGAACTAATGATAACAAAAGCTGATGAGATTCTGCTGTTTCCTTTTGTTTGAATTGTAGCACAAGGGTGTTGGTTGGCTTCCAATTTAAAGGCAGTGTGAGACAAAATAGCACAAAACTTGCTTGGGTTTTCATTTGGCACTTAGGTGATGTCTTAGTTAAAGAACAACAACAAAGGGAGCTAAAGGAATCGAAAAATGTGAGTCAACTTGAATAAGGTAGATTTTTATTTTATTTTTTTTATACTTTATCCTGCTTTGGTTGGCCAGATAATACCTAACAAATTTTTGGCATGATGAAAATAATAAATCCACAGGTGGTAAAGGAGGAGTAAAAGTAAGCACTGCTGCCTGATGTCTAAACTAAGCTGTGTAACTCGCTTGTAGGCCTGTAGTAAGCAACAGCTGTAGCGAGATGTGCCACTGCGGTCTCCGCGTGTCACCGCAACACCTCCTCCATGGTTGCCTTCAGCGTGAAGAGGAGTGGAGCGTTCAGAGCGGAACAGTTTGTTGTTCCAGTCTTTCACAGGCTTTTAAACACGAATGTGTTTTACTGCTAACAGCCTGTTTGTGTGGGGGAGCGGAAAAGGCAAGAAATTGAAGTGTCAATTGTGAGCATATTTTTTTTTTACTTCAGCCACTGCAAGGTTCTTATGATTTTTTTTTTTCCTTCCTCCCTCCATTAAGACTGCCCTCTTCTGCAAGCCATTAAGCAGCTCACTAGGAGATACCAAGCCAGAGGCTCTACATAGAAATCTTTTCTTAGATTTTGCTCTTTCCTGCTTTTAGCAGCTGCTGAAAAAAAAAAAAAAAGGCATTTTTAGCCTGTGTTTTACCTGGGCTTTGTGCTGCCTGTAAGCCATGTTTCTCTAGGCAGAGTCTGACACTATTTAACTCCTTATACAAAGAACCCAAGAGCAAATTGGATAAAAGCATGTGAAGGTGGTCACACCCCTAATGAGTATGATAGAAATTTCTCTTCATGGGTAGATTTTTCCTGGTTCTCCATTGCAGAAGAGCGTTTTAGCAATGGAAATTATAGGAAGGAGGGGACCAGCAAGAAAAGAGCATCAAACTGATTTGGGTTCCAGAAAAGCCTTTCTATGAGTTTCTTCCTCTGTGCCATTCCTCTCTTAGAATAAATTACTGGATTTGATTAGGAAAATGAAACTGGCTGGTTTAAATGAGATTCATGAAGTACAACAGCATTTAACTTTTACATTTAGTCTGTTTGTTATATGGTGGGGTCTTTTTAGGCAAAATGTCAGTGATGAAGAATTGTACCAACATGCAGCACCCAGCACACCTGAGCAGCTCTCGTTCTACCTTTAGCTTCAGACTGATAAGCATTTGATACTCAGGCTGTGTCTAGCAGTTTTTGTTGGGTTTTTTTTTTTGCTAATTTATGTACTGCATGCCAGCAAGAAGACTGGAGTTAGCTTACAGTTTTGTAAAAAGTACAAGCCAGAACCAATTAGCCTTTCAAATAGTTTTGTTTTGTTTACCTCTACAGAGCAGAACACACAGTAGTAGTAGTAGTTTACTTACTGAAGTTATTTGATCTCACTCCGAGTGCAAACAAAGAGCTGCTGTGCTGAATGGCTTTGCATAGTCAATATTGGAGGTTACTTTTCACCTGTTGTCAAACATGAGGGCTCTGTTGTCCATCTGTGTTCTGTAGATATGCACTGAAAACACGGTGTGTGCTATTAACCTCATCCTTAAAGCTAGAAGGAGTTTCAAAATTTGGGTTTATGAACTTTTGGAAGGTAGGTTTTGCTTTGCATTGTTACAGCAATCTGTATCTACGTTTAGCAGCTTTTAAAAATAGGCAGAGAAGGTTTATTGGTTTTCTGTTTCATGTAAAACAGGGCAGCATTAGAGAGGAGTGGACTAAAAGCTAAATGAGAAAGGAAAGTCAGTGAACAAGGAAACGAAAAATAGTGAGGGGCTTGTGGGCCACTGAAGAGAGGCAAAGAGCAAGGCACAACTGCTTGGAACAAACTGCCTTTTGGCAGGAGGAAAACAGTGTTGAGAATAAAAACCATGGGGAGTAATTTAATGTCACCTGTCACCAGCGTCTGAAAATCCTCCCTGCCGCAGTGGATTCTGCATCGCTTTTAGGCATGACTGACCACATTTCTTCTCCTCTTCAGTCTGTACATCTTGGAGATGTGGATCCTAAGCTGGTGAATTAAAAACAGGAGAGTGATTTAAAGATCATGAGGCAGAAAATAATGATTACTTTGACTTATATATAAAGTCAGGCAATTACATTCAAATTCATCAAGCCTACAATGAGCCAGATTTTGCTCGTGGATCTTTTCAGAGTGTGCAGCCTTCCCACTGTATAATTACATTGAATCCCAACACGCTGTAATAGTTGGTCTTAAATGCTTCCTGGAAAGTTTCTTCCATATTGGTGTCAGTGTGGGCATAGTGCATAGTCTATTTGGGTGTTTACTTTCAGGAAAAAATATTAATCAAGTGTCAGTGAAGGAAGTATAGCTTTCAAAAACAGTTTTAGCTGATGCTTATGCAATCCTGGGCTAAAACACAGATACAGAGGAGATTATAGGTGTTAGTTACCATTTTGATTTCAGGATGCTTCCTGAGTGCCATCTAGTGTTTGCTTTCCAATTCAAAACGGTGAAACTGGTTTTGGTTTTACACAACTGACTTTTCTGCTGTTGCATAAAGGGCATGGTTTGTAATCATACTTTTATGGAAGATTTTCTGGAGAGGAAGTTAGAGGGGATGCTATTGTCCTGAGAGTAAGAAACAAAAATCAACAAAGGCTTCAAAAACTTTGTGTTTTATAAAGTCTCTTGAATCCAACTGCTGAATTTTATCTCTGTTTTTATTTCCAGGTCATGTATGGAACACTAGTCTCCATTATAGTTCTACGATCTGTTTATATAGTATTATGGTAAGTAACTGTTTAGTTTAGTGCTGTAAGATACAACCCGTGCTCTGCGGTTGAAAGGGAATGGCTCATCTCCTTGCATTTTTTTTGAAACCACTGGGATAACATTAAACAAAACTGACATCTCTACACTTATGATCAGTGTTCACTGCCAGGTGTTCTGCTAGTGGCTTCAGCTGTTGGCCTGGGACTTCAAGGGGAAGGGAGTTTCTGTCTTCATATTGCTGGGTAACATGTGAAATCTATTGCCAGTGTCCAAACTCTAATGATGATGATACTTGGAGAGAGGTGAGAGTAAGACTGCAGAGCTGAACCATCCAGTTAATATTTTCCTTCCCTCTTCTCTGCTCAAGTATCTGAAATTCAAATGTAAAAGATAATAAGACAGAAGCTTAAATGATAGTTTTCCTTGCACTTTTGGCTGGGTTAAGTTAGGTATACATTACTGAAACTGAAATAAAAGCTATTTATAACAAACAAAAGGGAATTAGAAATGTTAGGAGACATTGAGAGGCATTAGAATCATCAGAGCACAGACTTGGTGAGTAAAAGTGAAGGAAAAGGAGTTGAATCAGCACTGGAGTAAACACATACCTTTAGCTTTCCGGGGCTCAGTTGGTTGCCCCTTCCTGTCTCTCCCCTGTGAGTAGTTGGTGTTCTCATATGTTTGGCGATTGCCCCTGGAAATTCCTGATTTTTCTCTACAGTCTTCATTCTAAATGTGCTTTTTGTTAAACTTTGTTTCAAGTTACACATGTGTTTGTTCAGGAACACAAGGGAGAATTTCGCAAAAGATGTGAATTTAAAGTAGATTCATTGAATCACCTTCCAATTGCAATTTCAGTTAATTTGGTTTGACTTTCCCCAAGAAATCCCCACAGACCAAGTATAAGTGTTCACAGACTTTTATTAAGCAAGAAGAACTTAAAACTGGTAATATGATGCTTGCAGCTTGAGAAACGATCATTGGTTTAAAGGCACTTTTCAAACCCATGAACATGGAAATTTTAATCCTAACCTAGAGATCATAAGTGATATTATCTTAATTCACTTCCAGGGGAATCTAAGTTGAATCCAGTTGAATCCCAGGTTGGATGAGGCTTTGAGCAGCCTGATCTAGTGAAGGTGTCCCTGCTCATGGCAGGGGAGTTGGAACTGGGTGATCTTTAAGGTCGCTTCTAACCCAAACCATTCTATGATTCTAAGTTCAGGTCATTTTAATTCTGTTCTTATACAAGGATTTAGCACAGTTCTAGTAACTTAAATTAAATTTCTTTCTATGTAGACCAACCCTTGGGACTGCTATCTTTCCAGTTCAGCAAATTCCACGCACTTGTGCATTCTCATTATTTCTGAAGCATTTCATTATTTTCTATCACTATTGATAACACCATCCTCCCTCCCAGGGTATCATTCATTGGTTTCTTCCACCAAAGCCTGTCTGTGAAGTTCTACCTACTTTTTCACTTCAATTTTAGAGGTTTGGAGTGTATTTTCTTGATTAGCTCGATCACTTCATTGCAACATAGCCCTACAAAAACTTGTGTCCCCCTTTGGTTATATTACGCAAACTGGTTAGAAATTCAGGATGGGGAGAGTAGTAGTTTTAAACTATTTCTGAATTTTAAGTAAACTACTACTAATTTTATATTAGTTCTGCTGGAGAAGCTGTGCCAACCTGAAGGTACCCTTTCTTTTCTGTAAAAGGTATCCCCAAGTATGCTTTTGGATTTACTTCTGCATTGCTAAAACATACTCCTGTCTTTCCATTGACAATGTCAGCACTTGTCCAAGCCTGTTTCAACTTACACACTGACCTTGATTTCTTGGTGTGTTTTTTTTCTTATTTTGTTTCTTGCTTCCTTAATATATATTTACTTCCTGTCACTCATATTTCTTAGCGTGGAGCTTGAAATTGCTCTGAGTTTAGAGTAAAAATGTCAAAAACCAGTATGTTATTCCTTCCAAGCTACTTCCTCCTCCTATCCTTATCATTTGTTGCTCTTCCTGCCTGTTTCCCCTACACTTTTCATCTCTTTCTTGGGTCTGCTTCTTTCCCGAGATTACAACTTGGCAAATGTTCTTTGTTCACAAAGCATGTTCTCCATTAATAAGCGATGCCACTCTCTCTCTCTCGTTCTGACAAAACAACACCATTTATTCCCTGAACAATTCTAGCTATAATTACCTAATTACCAGCATGTGTACATACCATTTAGTGCCCTTTCATGTCCTGAGCTTGCTTCTGTCCCTAGAGCACTGAGTTGGGAATATTGCAGCGTAGTCTGTGCCAGGTACCACATGGTGCTCCATGCATTTATTAGACTAAACAAAGAATAATTTTGGTAGTTTATGTTGACAGGACACTTCTTGTTAACATGTACAACTTGTGTCTGGTTAGCTTGCCCTGTGGAAGAAGCTGTACCAGTCTGTTTTGCACATACTGATTGCCAGTGCTTGCAGCTCTGTGTATAACACAGCAGAGAAAAAGCAGCTCAGGAATGTCTTTTAACCCAGAATCTAAACTGTGCATTCATAATTCTTAAAAATAACTCAGTGTTTTCCTGGCAGCCTTTTAGGGTTGGAATTGAGCATGCTTTTGGACTTATTATTGGGAAAGGAGCAAACGCTACCAACTTCCATGTAGGAAGTTTATAATTTTGTGGTCCAACCTGAATGCAGATAGTGAGGGTAAATTTATTAACAATGCACTTTCTTGCATCTGAGTCTTTGGTGTGTTTCCCATATCCTAAAGAGAAATCTTTTTCTCCCAAAATGAAATGGACATTTTTCCACTCCCAAGAGCACTCAACAATAAAATACAACATGAAATTACCGTGTTCTAAAACCATTCATTTGGTTAGTTGTTGGTCATGGTGGCCTACATTCACAGAAGACTGCAGTCATTCTGAAAGACCTTATTTAAACAAGTCCTCTAGTATAGGGATATCATATATTGGAAAAGAGCCTCTTCTTTTGGGAGAGTCCTAATTTGCAACATAGCTATTTTTTAACTGAAAGATTATACATGGGACTGAAGAATTATTACCTTTAACTTCAGTTTTCCCACTTATTTGTGTTAGGAGAGAACAGCATTCAGCGGAACAATTAGACATGTAGAAGTAAAACATCTAAAAGACCAGTCTCAGATAATGTAAATTCAGGAGAGAGGGGAGGAGGTGAAACACAATACTTAAAACAGATGAGATTTGAAGTTGATATTTTTCCTTTTGAAAAAAAAAAAAGGCAGTTTATTTATATGTAATAGTATTTATGTATGTTACAGTCTACCTTTAAAAGCATCTTGAACTAAACTTCATATTATTTCTCTTTCTAGGGTATACCCATGGCTTAGAGGTCTAGGCTATACATCTTTAACTGTATTTTTAATGGGATTTTTTCTCTGGAATGTGGACAACATTTTCTGTGATAAATTGAGGTGAGTTCTTTATTTTGTCCAGATAGCTCTTAATAGTCTTTTAGCATAAAACTTTGGTTTTTCTCTGGTGTATATTCAAGTCCATCTCATGGTATGTATGGTACACTTCCTACAAAACATTCACAAGGTTTTATCCAGTTTGCTTATGACTAGATTCAGCACTCAGTAGGCTTTTTAACATTTTCTTTATCCATGAATAGATGTATTTTTTTAAATAATTGATATTTCTCTTTAACTTAAATTTAAAATGAGAGAAAGTAGTGTCACTGAAGTAATTTTGAGGATCTGTGGCTTACTAAAGCCTTCTATTCACACTTGATTTCATCTGAATGAGTTTTTTATCCTGCTTATTTCATTATTTTGATTCTGCTTTTGCCATTTCCTAGGAAAATACCAAAAGCAGTAGCGCTGCAGGTTAAAGAAATATCTGTTGTGATATATCTGTCACCAATAAACAACAGCTGCTTGAGTGTCTCAGAACAGTAACTCTGTGAGCCAATACCCTGTGCTTGGCTGTCATTATTAGCTTCAAGTCTTCTGGCTTAGCACTTGTAGAGGAGGCCAAGAAAGACTTCCTCTCTGTTTAGTGTTTTGCCAAATGGGGTAAAAAAGGCCTCTAGACAAAGCTCCTAGGAACCCACCATCTCATCGTATAGCTGTTAGCCTGGAGAAGAGAAGGCTCTGGGGTGATCTTATAGCAGCCTTCCAGTACTTAAAGGGGGCCTACAGGAAAACTGGAGAGGGATTTTTAACAAGGGCATGGAGTGATAGGACAGGGGAAATGGATTTAAACTGAAATAGCGCAGATTTAGATTAGATCTAAGGAAGAAATTCTTCACTTTGAGAGTGGTGAGGCAGTGGAACAGGTTGCCTAGAGAAGTTGTGGATGCCCCATCCCTGGAAGTGTTCAAGGCCAGGTTGGATGAGGCTTTGAGCAACCTGGTGTAGTGGAGGGTTTCCCTGCCCATGGCAGGAGGGTTGGAACTGGATGATCTTTGAGGTCCCTTCCAACCCAAACCATTCTATCATTCTATACCCTGTCCGTGCAAGAAAAATACTAGTCAAACAAGTCATTCTCTTAATGTGTGTGCCTCTGGAACTGGACAACTGCATTATGGCACCATTTTTTCACTTAGTTGTGATGCTTGTGTTCCACCGCAAGCTGGAGAAGATGGAAAGGTTGATGCCAGCATTCAGAAAATCCAGTCTGACTGTCTGATACACTGTTATGCTGCTGAATCATGGTCTACAGAATTGTCATAGAATCATAGAATGGTTTGGGTTGGAAATGATCTCAAAGATCATCCAGTTCCAACTCCCCTGCCATGGGCAGGGACACCCTCCACTACACCAGGTTGCCCAAAGCCTCATCCAACCTGGCCTTGAACACTTCCAGGGATGGGGCAGCCACAACTTCTCTGGTGTTTTCCATCTGTCCCTTTTGGCTCTGTAGTGCCTGCACTAGGTTAGGCCAATTGAAAGTTAACCTCCAACAGAGTTTTCTTGAAACTTTATTTGAAAAATATAGATGTGTTGAATATAATACATGGTGCTTCATCCCTAGAAACGCTTGATACAGATGGGATAGAAAAGTTATTTGCCAACACAGGTGGGTGGGTATACAATGACTTTGTAAATATTGGCATCAGGGTTGGTTTTTGCAGCTGCATCACATTGCTGGTGAGATCATAACCCCAAATTCTCCGAGCCTGCTGAGCTGCTGTGGGGCTTTTGAGCTTGTTCCTAGACTCAAAGATTACACCAGCTGCTGAAGCACTTTTTTCCATCCTCATTTTGCAAAGGGGAAAAAAAGCTAGCATTCTTCCTGTAGTGCTTGTTTGGATATGATGCTGGAAAAAAATAAATACTCTTGTTTACTAGCTTTAATCAGATCTCTGCAGAGCCTTGGATTTCTCCAGGTGGTATTATAACTTGAACCTTTAGAAAAAATATATTCCAGTTCCATGTGATTTTTTTTTTTTTAATTCTCTAAAGATCTAACTTGTGAATCATCCACCTACCTGCTCTTTCTGGTTTTAATGTTCAAAGTTGTATTTTGGTTCAGTTTTTGTTTTTCCATATTTCATTAAATTTGAAGCTTATTTATTAAAAATCAACCTGGACAAAAAAAAAAACCCACCACAACACTAACATCTGTAACACTCAGCTTCCCTTCCTGGATCCATGCACTTTTGAACTTGAGCTTTGAGATTTCCTGCCATCCAAAGGCTCAGAGGCTGTGCCGGGCTGACAGCCTGTGTGTTCCAGTGTGTCATTCCCAGCTGACTGAATCCAAGCTCTGTGTTCATATTTGTGACTGAGCAGCTCTGGAAACTAAGCAGTAGCTCAGGGATTAGCATTTAGTCAGCGAGACTGAACACTGTAACATCAAGCAGTAAGTAAGTATTACAGAAGCTGCAGATTTTTCTTCCGTAACACCTGCGATCGTTGTTTTCCCTTTTTTTTTTTGTTTTGACTGAATGTGAAATGAAAGTCAAAAAAGAAGACAGGCAGATGCACACACTTGCTCCACCATCAACCGAAACGGACATTATCTGCAGAAGTCTAGTGAGCAGGAGAAACCAGGGCAATGTAGTTCCTTCCTTTATCTCCATCCCTTAGCCTCTTCCCCAGTAGCTCCCACCCCATCACTGTGCAAAATACAAAGCACGTTGGCAGAGTATTTCTCCCTGCTTTCATTGCTTCCTCACTAAACACCTATTTTGTCCCTGTTTTAGAGTACAACAGAGAAAGGCAAGCTAAGCTTCCATGGAGCTGGAGAATAGGTGGTGTGATTGCCAAATGTGGTCATGTCTGATGGATCCTGTTTCCTCTCTCAGGCCTTAAACTCAGCACTTCATCCTATGGCCGTTAGTTCACCGGGTTTTGGGGAGGACAATGGTAGAAATTGTTTGGGACTGTGGGATGCCATAAATATATTACCCAAAGTTTGAGTCCAGAAGTAACTGAGCACTAATTGTATGAAGAAGTGTGTGCTTTCTTTAGCCAGTTTGCTAATGTCTTTCTAAACTGTCTCTCTAAGGTGTAACCACTGTTTCTCACCTGCTGAAAGCCTGACTGCATGAAGCCTCACTCGTGAATCATTTCCTGAGATACAGAAACAGTCATGTGTGATCTGATAGTCAGGCACTGAGATTTGAGATTATTCAGCTTGGGAAAAAAAAACAAAACATTGCATGATGTTTCTTTCTTACAGAGCACTACGAGAGAAGATGCCTCCTGTTGTGGGAGCTGTGACGCAGTTTCATGCATGGTGGCATATTCTCACAGGCCTGGGCTCTTACCTTCATATCCTGCTAAGGTAGGAAATGTTTTCTAAACTGGATTTTCATAAAGCAGTCTTTTTCCCAGAGTTTTCCCAGGTTTACGTTTACTTCAGAATGTTGTATCGTCCAGCAGAGCAGGAAAATGACTTCTTACTAAACTGGCGGGAGTTTTCCTTCCCTCTTAGCAACTGGTCTCAAAACTCTGTAAAGTAATTTATATTCTTCAAAATGAAATCATTAATCTTTAAATAGCCATTGTTCTTCAGGAAAATGCAATTCAGAAATGGGAACCCTGTAGCGGTTAAACTGCAAAACTGTTTGACAGTATATTAATTTCAAAATTTAAGCTATTAATACTTTTTTCTTCTTGAGCAGCAATCCTGAAGTCCTTAAACATGTTTAATTTTAGAAGCATAACTCATCTTTTTGATAAGGACTGTCGCTCCTGAAAAATAGCAGGCAGAAGAGTGACGGCTGAAGTGGCTGGGGCAGAGCTGTTCCCAGAAGTGCAAGATATTAGTTTCAGAAGGAGACTTAAAAGAGAGTCTGAGTGAGCAATTCTGCAGCCAGCAGATTTTTGTCTCTCTCTTTGCTCTATACCACCATCTAGGGGAACCAGGAACAAAACCAGAATTTAACCTGAAATCTGAAGGATTTCTGCAGTTTGTTCATTATGTAATGAAATAATGTTTTACCACATATCAGTTTTTCTACGTCTACCATAGTATTCTTTTTTGTCAGATGTTAAAATAGCTAGTAAAAGGAAAATGCAAGGAAAATAAATAAATTTCCAGTAGCTATTCTGATAGCTTTTTAATATATGTATGTATGTATATATGTAAATATATACACGTATATTTGGATGTGTATCTATATGTACCTGTATATGTGTGTGTATATGTATGTATATATAAAATAATGTCATGGTATGTGGAAAACAGCTGCTTCATTTTGGCTGACAGCTTCTCTGCTGCCTTAAACAGTTTGAGATAATCTTTGGAAGAAAATTCCTTACAGAAAGCAAGCCGGTGCAGACAGTTCGGCTAGCGTAGGCAAGGTTTGTCTAGCATGCTGCACCGAGAAAATAATTTGGGTTTGCATCCTCTAGCCCTTGGGGAACGTGCAGATGCCTGATTTGTCCTACCCCAATGAACTACATGCTTTCCCTGCGATAGTTTCCCTAGTATTTTCTCGGCCACGCAGTGGTATCACCTGCATCTGCTTAAAAAAGGGAGGTCATACACAGCAAAACATCTACTGAGGGGAGAGGGTGTATAAGAACAAAAATGAGATACAGATTCAAGCTATGCTGCTACCACCCCCCCCCCCTTAACATCTGCTGTATTTTGTGGTGCACTGATTTAATTTCAGCTTTCCAAAATGACAGGCGTTAGTCTCTTCCATAGCGGAGACAGATTTTTCTTCTCTGGGTTTCTCCCTTTCTCCCCATATAGGTGATAGGATAGATTAATTTGCTAATCATGGTCTAGCACAGAGGGATTTGCTGTAGGCTAATGTCTCCTATTTTGTGTAAATCTAGGCAGAATGGGTAGCTCTGCAATCACAGAAGCAATTCTTTTCTAGTTGGAAAAATAAAACCAGGATTAGTACGTGATTATTCTTTTATGTGCTGTCTTATAGATGAAATATTAAGGACGCTTTTCTCCTTTTTCTCAGCTTATACACAAGGACACTTTTCTTGAAGCACAGGCCAAAGGTGAAGGTAAGCAAGCAGTATTTTGTGTCCATTCATGCACTGCAGCATTCCGATATCCCGTGCTTTGGATTTGCGTTGGGACCCACCGATCGTGCCTGTTAGGGTACTACCTTTCATTTCTACTTACATCCCAACAAATGCAGTTGAAATGATGGTTAACAGTGTTTGGTTTCTATTCCAAGAGACGTGATATTCCAGGAAATCTTTCTTCCTATTTGTCTTTTAACAGTTCATTTTTGGAATATGGCCTGTTCTTCTTGTGGAGCCGCCCAAGAAGCTTTGACTGAGACTGAGGCCGTCGCATGTGATCCCCTTGCCTGGCTGAATAAAGCAATTCAAGAGTTACTGTGGCTGAAGTGTCAAAATTTCGGATCAATTCCAGTTCCATAGCTATAAAAGGACTTCTCTGCGTTACGACGCCAGCCGGCCGGAGCAGAGCAAAGAGTTGGCACACTAGGGAAACGTTTAGTACAGCTTTATTCTAAGTTGTTAAAACAAAGATTAAGACACAATATTTTTATGTATATATTGTATAGCTGATGATACTGAGCTAATATTTCGTGCTGGTCACAGAAAACTAACCGTTTTTGGAGTGGATTGCGTATGTTTTTCATTCAGTTGTTGTTCTTTCTGTGGTTTAAACTAATATTAGTAACTGAATGACAAAACCAGGCTATTGGCGGCCAAGCTAAGCATTTGTGTGGCCTATAGTGAACTGAATGCTTAACCTGAACTACTTTAATCTTGCACTTTTATACAATTAATGAAGTATGTAATGACTGATTTAGGGCTTTGTTCTATCCTGCTTTTCCACAGCCTCCTTTGCAATTTATATTTTAAGCAAAACGGTTGGGATACCTGTGCCACTTAGTTAATTTTGTACCAAGCTTCCATTTTCTCTTTAGTCCAACTGAGGTACATCATGGAGGATGTTCCAGGGTGTGACCAGCAGAAGACACTTAAAATGGGTGAAGTATTCTAGGGTTCTTGTTTGTGTGTGGAAACTGAGTTCCTAATTAATTTGACCAGTGATCCATCAGGAGACTGCAAGGTGACTGTATAAACACAAGAAACACTTTTTTATTATTATTATTTATAATTATTATTTTACATGGCTCTTTTCTATTGCTGCTTTTCACTGCCCACATCCTGTTCATACTACAGATTGACAAACACCTTAGGTGTCTGCTAGTTCAGCTTTGAATTCACATCTTTCCTTTATTTTACAAGTCTTAAGTGTTGTTCTGACTTTCAGAAGCATCTTCTTATTCAGAAATATCGAAGAAAGAGTAAAGAACAAGATTGATGTTGAGGATACCCTAAAATATAATTGGCAGCACTTTGATTGCTTGTTCTTAATCTGTCCATCACACAGTTACTCTGTGAAAAGTTGGCCACCTTTTAAAAACCAAACTGGGGCTTAATGGAGGGGGGACCAACCCTCTGGTTTCTGCAATTTTTATCGACCCAGCTGATGAAAGATAGTAAGTAAGCGTAAAGAAAACATTGAACTAACACAGTTTTTCAAAATATACCTCATATTGCAGGCTGTGGTTTTGACTCTCCAGATCTTGGGACAACTAACAGAGTCTTTCTTTGGGCCTACTAGCTGCCATGCTCTGCAATTTTGGTCTGCTCTGAGGGATTTATCCTTCTTGCCATGAAGGAAAAAAAGAGAAGTGCTCAGACCGTTGGGAAATCCCATTCTGTGTTGATTTAAAACATGCCCACAGCAGCAAGGCATGGTAATGTAGCTATAAACCTATCTCCCAGATCACAATGTCCTGGCTAGCCTAAGCTTTCTTACTCCAATTGTTGAAAAAGTTGGACTGAAATCTATATTGTGCAATCCTACTGAAATGGTTTCATCCCTTTATTATCTTTTTTTCTTTTTTTCCTGTTTGCAACTTAGCTACATCCTCTGTGTCCATCAGTAGCACTCTTACTGATTCGAATCTTCAGCCAAAATCGTGGCTTTTGTTACGTGACTGACCCTGGACTCTTGGGATCAAATAGACCCAAACTCAGGGCTAGAAAAAGATCCTTGACCTTGAGTGACTTCAGTGAGGTTGAAGCACGTGCTGAAAGCAGTGCATTTCAACCTGTAATCATAAAGCACTGTAAAGATTCTTGACTGAAAATTTAAACACAAATTTGTTGTCAGTAGGCTCCGGTTCCGTAGACAAGGTCAGCATCTGTGGTGGGATATTTGAGAGATCTTCTGACTGAAGGACATTGGAAGAATTGTTGTCAGTAGGCTCCGGTTCCGTAGACAACGTCAGCATCTGTGTTGGGATATTTGGGAGATCTTCAGACTGAAGGACATTGGAAGAGCCAGTGTAGGGGTAGGAAAATGCCATCTTGGAACAAATGTCTTTAATCCAGAAGGCATATTTTTTGTAAAGAGATTTGAGAATTGTTTTAAAAATGTAGCTTAAAAACAAGTGCCTGCCTGTTCACCTCCAGGCTCTCTCGAGCGTGCTTCTGCACACTGTATCCAATTTTTTTATTAGGATGTTTACATGTTTTCCTAAGTTAGGGAACGAGTCTTATAATAGGAGCAGTGCAGCAAGGAGGCCTATCAACAGTCACTTGTGATATCTGCTAGATATGGTATTATTTTTAAGAAAACAAACAAAACCTTTATTTTAGTGGCCTTAGTTTTGTTACTGGAGGATCTGGGGTTCTGGTTGGTTTCCCTGTAATTGCAGGAACCAGAGTGTGCTGAAAAGCCACTTTCTTATTGATAAGGCATCTCTGCAATGGTAAATTTTAAACAAGTTTCTTGATTCTCTTACACGTTTGCAACTAGGAAGTGTATGTTTCTTTTTGGATCTTATTGAATTAAACTGTCAGGGTTTAAAAAAAAACTTGGAGAAGCTCTTGTTTTAATTTTATGCTGCTGTTTGCTTTTCATTCACATATCCCTTGTCACTGATGTTTTTATCTTTAAAAAAAATTACAAAAATTGGCTTCTTCCTTTGTTCCAAATGACCAAAAATAGGCACACAGCAGCCTTTCTTTTGGGTTATGTTAGATCCTGAAGAATGTAATTTACATGTCTGTCCTTCTAAGCATAAATAATCTAAAATTATGGGTGCTTTGGTTTCACTGCCTTACTGATCTTGTGAGTGATATTGAAGATGGCAAGCCAGTTTTAACTACATGTCACTGAAATTCAGACTGCCTTTTCTAGTGCCTGGAAAGACTTAGATCCTTACTCCTGTAATGTGTTAAATGTCTGTTAAATTGCCTTTTAGTTACATCACTTGTATCACATGCTGTTTGTTGGTTTTTTTCCTACAAACCTTAGAGCAGCATATCCTGAACTTTTCTTGCACTATGTCTTATAAGGTGAGTCGTCTTAGATTCTGAATCTACAGTCTTTGTAGGATTCAGACAGCAGCTACTTCAAAGGGAATTGTAGAAGCAGCAGGTGTTGTTTAATATGAATACTACCAGATGGACAGACTTGATAGCGATGAACTCTTTTATTCTTTAATGTCGGTGAAGAACCAGGAAATCTGCCACCTTACAACCGTCGGCTTGGCAAGATCAGCAGCAAGTAATTCTGCAGACGGTGAGCTGAAAAACTCTTCCTTGGAAATAAGAGGAAAAACTTCGAAATTACTCTCCCAGTACCGATCAACACCATACCTTATGCTGGGAATCTAGATTTTCTGGATGCAGCTCAAGACATGCGTTACCCAGAAATGAAGATAAGACGTGATAAACAGAAATCTGTCCTCAGGAGGAGTCTCGTCTGTGCTTTGAAGGCAGTGTGGTTGGTTAGCAGTATTAGTCATCTCCAGACTTCATTTTAGTGCTTTTTCTTTTAGCCCAGGGAAGATGTGCTGCCCTGTGAGTGTTCAGAAGATTCCCCCATAGTCAGGATCGGAATATGCACTCTGTCACCTGCCGATCTACCTCTGTCGTGTATCGTACAATACCCGTGCCCTTAATTACATCTGCCTGAATGTGCAAACGTTGGAGCAGCCTGACTTAGACCTTGGAGCCCCTGAGGATTGTGATAATCCGTGGCTGACTCCGTTCACTCTCCGTAAACGTCCCGACTTGTTCAGCGTGTGTCACTCTTAGGTTGTGCTCCGTCTGCTGCTCATCTGCGTGCAGAGTGGGAGGACTTGAATTCCGACAGGTGAAGTAAAGCCTTTGTGGCAGTTAAGTTACATTTAAAGCTAAGATGCAAACAGTATAACTTGTTTTACATGTTCTTGGAAGAGATGTGATGGGAAATGCTGGTTTATAATTAATTTTAATTCTCTTTTAATCTAATATTGTGCTGTGTTCATCCCCAGGCCTCTCGTGTTTGGCTGAAGGGAAGTTGTATGATTTGCAATGCAGTTGATTCTTTCGGCTGTAGTGCATTTGTGCTTCTGACACCTGGTTTCAAACAGCTGAGTGAGTTTTTCAGCTGACTCAGCAACAGAAAATCCTCCCAGTGTCACCAGTGTTTCTCACAGTCGCTATCACCTTGTTAGTCTGCTTTCAAGAATTTGGGTAATACTGAGGTTTTTTAAAACCTGTTTATGGATATATTTTTGGCATTTGATAGCAGGTGGTGAAACAATTCAGTGCTCCTCACTTGAAGACAGGCTCTAACGAAGCAGCACTGTTTTCTTCAGTAGACCTCAGAATCCAGGAACACACCTTCATTTTGGTGGCCTTGTGTGCCCCGTCATTTTAATTAACATATTCAGGTAAACCGGTTGGTTTAAAGAAACCTCATCTGCACTCGATAAGTAGGTGATGGGAGGCTTTAACTGAGACTTCAGTATGAAGAGGGATAAACGATGGAGTCTTTATTACCCATGAGAAGCAAAAAAACAGGAGATTATTCTCTTTCCATGTAAGGTTTCTTAACAAAAGATTAAGCACAGAATCCCATATGGAGTCTTTATTACCCATGAGAAGCAAAAAACCAGGAGATTAAGAAACCTTACATGGAAAGAGAATAACAAAAGATTAAGCACAGAATCCCATGGTATTACGTCAACCACCCTTCTGATAACTGCACTTTAGATACTCATATGTAACAATCTTGAATGTTTTTGTATTTATACATTTAACTTTCCGTGTTGACTCTGCACTCTTTGCCGTGGAAGTGGTGTAGACTCTGTTACATTCGGTTCGTTGTAGGTTATTCAGCTGTTGTTTTATGGGGATGGAACGTGACACGGATTGTTTTGTACACGAATGAATGCTTTTCTTATCCATCTGGAACATCCTCTGCTGGCTTTGAGAGTCTGTAACGTGACTACAGAGAATATACTGTATAACTATTAAGATTGGGTTTGGGTTTCTTTGTTCAGTTTTTTGCTCACAACTGCCTATGGCTGCTAAGTGCCTGATCTCTCTGTCACAAATCTTTTCTGAGAGCTGAGGCTGTGTTTTCTCCTGGGATCCGTAAGACAAGGTCCTCGGAAGGTGGGGCTTCAGTTTGGGTTTTGTTAAAAATTGTCCTACTGCAGGAGTCACAGCACTCTCTTTTTCCAGAAACATAGTTACCTAGTACGTGGCTGCCTCTGCTTGGCTCAGACTGGGGCCTGACTACCCCACGGCTCTGCTGCTGTTGCATCTTTTCAGATTTTGAAAGCTGGGTGAGGGATTTAGCCCCACGGCTGGTGTTTATTTTAGTGTGTAGTTCAGTGGCAGTGTGAGGGCGCAGCAGTCAAGCAAGCACTTTATGCAGAGCCCTGTTACTGGAGCTCCCAGCCAGATGCTGCAAACAGGACTGGGGGTGTGGGGATTCATATGTACAGTTTTGAGGGCAGGGTTGATTCCTGAACTCCTTAATTTACTTCAGAATTGTCCCTTTTTACTTGTTGAAAGTGTTTAGATTTGGTTAGGCATGTAGTTGCAGATATAAGAAGAACCAAGTTCAGAATCCAGCTAACGCAAGACCCTAAACCAGTGCCTGCAAACTTGTTTTGCACATATTTCACGCAAGTTGAATCTGCCTGATGGTTAGATCAGATTGTTGAGATTTTAAAAATGCAAAGATAAAGGGTCTTTTGATTATTTGTCCTTCATCACCAAAGCACAGGAATGGTTGTAAGCACAATCGCAGATTCATACTTCTTTCCCCAAAGCCCTGGAACATACATATGTTTCTCCAAAGCCAATGTGGAAGAGAGATGGGTTTTCACACTGCTCATAGCAAATTATGTACCAAAACGTTTTCTAAATTAAAGCCTTGGTCAGCTGCTGCAGAAGAATTTTGTTTGTGTGTACTATTGTTCCCTGGATTTCGGAAGAGAGAGTTTCAAGCAGCATAAGCAGTAGTTACTCCTTAGAC